TCAATAGTACAATAGCAAGAAAAAACCGTCTTTGACGACCCAGCAGGTGTGAGCCTATCAACACACCATGATACCCACGCGAAGGAAAGGCTGGAAGAATCCGCTTCGATTTGCATGTATTTTGCTATAGAAGAATCATGTATTTATCCTCAAGTTAATATGCCTGAAAGACAAATATCTTCATCTATGTAGTTCCTCATGTTCGTAAAGGGGGGTGAGGCGAACGCGTCAATGACTCCAAGACTGTGCTCAAATTGGGGAAGCCCTACTTCAGTGCTCTTCCAATCATTAGTCCAATCTTTAGCGGTCCCTGACCAGCCCAGGACGTGAGTCCACCTGCAGACATTTGCAATCTGGATTATAAATCCAGCCAGCGGAGGAATGCTGGAATGTGCCTGGTGTCCGACAGCAAAATTCTGCTGTCTGTATAAATCACACTGCGAGCTCTTACTTTACAAACATGTCTAAGTATTACAGAAGTTCAGAGACAAGACTTGCTCTCAGTTTGTGACTGTGGAACTTCCACAGGAACAGGAGGCCCGTGCGCAACAGACATCACGACATCACGCCAGTGACTGTCTTGACGTCGCGACGTCACGACGACGTGACGCCTTGACTGTGCGACGGCACCTCGTCGTGATGCACCGACGTCACGACGTCGTGACATCGCGACGTCGGCATAAATTTTCTCAGTGGGCTTTTTTAATAACTTCTCATATTTTTCGCACTGTGTATAAGTCAGGAATATTTAAAATTTCAGCGTTGAGTATGAGTTGAGGATTTTTTAACAACATCTGCCCGGGATTATACAAAATTTTACAATTGCAATTGAACTGAGCAATTGATAAAGATTCGCGCCTCTTTCGCGGTCTGATAATTTAATAAAAACGCAGCATTTTCTACCTGGGAAAAATGTGAGTGTATGCTGAGTAATTTGTACCTTTACTCAGCATAATCCTCGCATTTTCGGGCTGTGCAAATGGTCAATTCCTCGCAGTGTCGCTAGATTTCTCGTCGCTTTTGTTGATGCGCCGTAAGTAGAGATCTCATCAGTTGGGCGCTCCACGTTCAAGTAAGCGCCGTATAAATCCCAAACTGGTGACTTTATTTACTATGTTCCAGTCATTTGGTCACATCAACCCGGAAAACGGCAAGGCTGGACTGATCCGCAACCTCACTGAAACTACTTCAAAGTCGGGGTTGTCAACTTCAAGGGGGTTTCGGCTTATCAACTGGGTTGCTAAAAAGAATTATCCAGCTACCTCAGTGACATGCATACTTACTAAGTACTGTACCATTTTGACTTTTGAGCAGTTGGTAAGGCCTTCAACTTGACCTTTCTTCCAAATCTTATTTTCATACAATTCTCATTTGATCCTCATTCAATATGTGATTGCGACAAAATTTAGTACATCATCTCCTTGACAATGTCAGTGACTCAAATTTATTTTGTAAGATCCTTCAGTTGCCTGTAACTGGGTATATTTGGGTCTTCTGTGACCCATGACCTACAAACTGGTCACAATAGTATTATGTCACACTGATATGCTGCTGCATGCAACCTTATATGACTACATTAATGCACATAAGAATACTCTAGTACATACAAGGTGCCGATTAAATATTGGGCTTATCACTAAGGATCAATGTCATAATTAACTCCAATCCGATATCAGTACGGATCAATGGAATAATTTGTTGGAGATGTTGAGATCAGCTGAGCAATCGATTTGCTCGCCAAAAGCTTCTCCTTTAGTTTCAGGTGTTTTTCTCCCCGGAGTGCACGCTGGGACTTATCTATTTTTCCCTACATTTTACATAGCTTGCTATTAAACCGGAGTGAACTCTAGCTCTATTCGACGACTTCCTTGATTCACTCCGACATAAATTAACTCCGATCTGATATCTAATTTCAAAGAGTTGATGATGTATACAACGACACCATGTATTTGAACCCTAGTTCCCTTGGTGTTCATGCATGATGGTCAATTAATATAATCTGAGATTTAGTTCATTGTTGATACTTATACAGGCCATTCCCAGCATGTAACATTGTGACCTCCCCTTGTCCTTGTGCCTTTGAGACTGGAAGTATCAAGCATGTCGAAGTTCTTCGATGCTACCAATGGTGATGTTGATTTCTCAAGCACTTCAGCAGTTATGAGCATTGGCTGATATACCCTTGCTTCTAGGCTCTGGTTTGATTGGTTCATGGCTTTCTGCTTCCATGTATGGTGTAACATTAGCGCAGGTAATTTTTTTTTGTATTCTCTTTACTGTTAAGATTGTTGACTGATTGACCTCTCATTTTGAAGACCTACATATTCTTCAACCGTCCCCTAAGGAGTTCAGCTCCGCTCAAAGTGCTGGTATGGCATTCCAGCTCTTATTTTCTCTGCAGTGCTTAGATGTTCTTTTCAAGGTATTGTGCCTTTGGTATGTACTACAAGTCTACAGCTTCATGCAATAAGTTGTCTGATTAAAAGTACTTAGGTTTCTTGACACAATTCACACTGCAATTGGTGTGTATTCTTGAGGACCGGCGATTGGGTTTACTTAATGTCGGCCCCAAACTTGCTTCAAACCAGTGTGCACCATAGTCTATCATTATTTGGTGAATATATCAATGTTCTTTGGTGCAGCCATGAGCTCATTACCACGACACATACCTAGATAGTGGATGCATTCAATGAGACCGCCATCCTGTTTACCACATGGTACATCTGAAAAAATTTCCATCATTGTCAAAAATCAAGATGTGCTGATCAATTGGCTGTTGGCATTACAGGCCTATAGCAGTAAGTTCTGAGCCATTTATGCCATATGGTAATTGATTAAGCCCATCTGCAAAACTACAGGCATCAGTCGCTATCAATGTGAGTTGTCTCCGTGATTGGGTTCTTGTTGCTTAAAGGGTTACAGGTAACTGTGGTTGCCATCTGTCAGACGTGAGTCCCTGATATCCTAGTACAACTTCCGGCTCTGTGGCTGACCAGTCACGCCAAGATACTTTCTGTCGGTTGTATATAGGTGTAGGTCTTGCATAAGTAGTTGCAATGTGTCACTGGCCTGATCAGAGTCCTTCCAACTATGCGCAGTGTGCAAGAAAACCTGGTTGCGCGTATCATTAACTGCATCAATTGTGCGTAATTTATCACTTCGCACACATTCGGTGAAGTCTTGACGTTTTTTATTTCAAAAGATGGTGTTCATCATTCTACATTTTGGTTAGTGCTACCTGTACTAACAGGCCATTAGTATATATTGACTACCCAAGATAGGATGGGGACTTGGTATGTTCAGACTTTTATACTCTTACACAAGTCTGAGATTGCAATACTAATGCAGCTGTCGTGATCCTTGTGTATGGGCATTTTTAAATCACATCTTATTATGCTGTTGCTCACTCAAATAACAACTAACAGGGCACCAAGAAGAACATTTCTGGAGGATGCTACTAAGCAATCCGTTGGATATCTGCCCTATGCCATCACCCAGCTACCAGTAGACTTTGCAATTGCCGGATCATTGTGTATTCTTTTGTACAAAAGGCGCACCGGCTTTCGAAGGTCAGTTCATTCGCCTATTCTTGCCGCCGTTGCCGGGCATAATATAATACTATTCACAGGACGAAAACACTCATCAATACGCTGATCTTGTATGCCGTGAACCGTTGTATATTTACATCGTAAGTGCAGCACCCGTGCAGTAGAAAGTACTGTCTGGGACCTGACATGATCATGCAATAACAGAGTGGTTGCACTAGTGGAAGCATTGGCGGTACGTAATTAGTCTCTTAATGTTCCTGCTTTTGCCTGACTCGTACCTGCAGGTTGGCATTGCACCAGACTCGTATTGGTACAGTGCTGCAGAATATGTTATTGGACAGTGTGAATTTCCATTTGTGTGGCTTCCCATGCGAAAATAAATCTAACTGATGATCTGGTTCACAGTATATACAAATTCCCTTCTAGCTATGCTGAATAGCCAAGACTCCATCTCGGACGGTGGAACATCTTGGTCTGCTGATTTGAACATACTTCCCCTGCAAAACCTCCATGTCCACAGTCACCCGGTAGCCCTTCCCCTGCAGAATATTACCGTAACAGGCACTGAGCACAAAAACGAAGACTCGGCCGGTCGCAACAGTACATATGACAATGACATGTCAGACTGTCGGACCTAGAGAGTAGTGGAGACTTCGATGGCAAGGGGTGCTGCCCCGCCCCTAACCAGAACTTCTTGTCTTGTGGTGGAATATATCTATTTTCCATTTCTCTTTCAAGTTTAGCTACTTTGTTTATTGTTTTCTGAGTTCTCTTGTTGTAACTATTGGTAGTGCAGGATAGTTCTAGTTCTACTGAACAACTGTTGGAATAATTATTGGCCCCTCAGATAGTACACAGCTGTCAGCGATGTGCCAGCTACGGTTCAGAGCCATTCAGCCCACAGTCAGGTGTTTGAGCCCAGCCCAGCCCTCAACCAGCCCCAGTCCCCATCCCCTCCTTGTGGAGTTCACAACCCCCTCTTTCTCCCAAACCACCAAACCACAAATCCCCAATCCTCACCTGCTGGCATACCAACACCCTCCATACATAATATCAGATCATCAAACTTGGCAGTAAGTTAGCACTGCCAGTAAGTACTGCAAGTCTGCAGCATCTGGGCACAGAATTTTTAAGAATCCATTGCCAGATATTCCGTCAAGCATAGAACGACGAATGTACATATGCTGAATGTCAACCCGTCCGGCGGTACTTTAAAAAAAAATAAAAACAACTGTTACCTTTCACATAACTATTCCTTCTAGCCGACTTGAACGACTGACCTCGTCATTAAGTCACTTGAATACAGATACTAGTGACGCGCTCTACCAACTGAGCTAAGAAGGAGTACACATGAATGCCTCAAGTGCTGTTGTTGAGTCTGTAAAACTGCACACCCCAAAGGTTGAGCGAGGTTCGGAGAGCAAAACCATTGAAAACATCTACACAGTGAATTTCCTTCTAGCCGACTTGAACGACTGACCTCGTCATCAGAGTACTCCATATCATATGAGATATATACTAGTGACGCGCTCTACCAACTGAGCTAAGAAGGAGTATGCTAGAAGGAGCAAGCACCGCTACTCATAATTGAATCTGTAAACTCCGGAGAAAAAAAAAAGAAGCAAACTTTCCTTTCAACATTTCCTTATAGTCGATTTGAACGACTAACCTCGTCATTAATAGGGCTCGTTAAGTATATTGAAATACTATTGATGTGCTCTACCAATTGAGCTACTAAGAAGGAGTATAACGCTTGTGGAAAGTCGGTGGTCCTTGTTGAATAAGCAAATCCCGAGTCAGCAAGAGAATAGAATATCATTTTTGAATGAGGAACTCAAAGAGGTGTTGCAGGAGGAAGAGGCATACGTGTTTAGCCTGAGGTACTGTTGAATACATAAGTGTTCTTGCCGGAAGGAATTGATCAACGGCTTGAAGACAAAGGCTGAGCCGCCCCTTGGATTTTGATTTTTTAACTTTCTTTTAACTTTCCTTCAGGGGTAGAGAAACTCAAATTCTGCTTGATTAACATTGAGAATTGGTAGGAAACTAGGTCCTTCGTATTGAATACCTGAATAAACTTGACGCTGGGACTGGAAGTCGAAAAATCGGAGAAATAGCAGCAGCGCCGCGGCGCTTATTCTGTTTGTCGTCGAGGTCAAGACTCAAGACGCGTCTGGAGGGACAAAAGGTTAGTAATATAGTATAGGTTCAAAGTTGAAACTTGTATTTATCGCGTTTCGCGTTATCGGCTGAGCAACTGGGCAAAAAGATAAGATAATTAATGATCTACCTCAAGTCAACCCATTCTTTCTAGCCGACTTGAACGACTAACCTCGTCAATAAACCTAGGTGACAATCATCAGCCCTTATTGTACTAGTGACGCGCTCTACCAACTGAGCTAAGAAGGATTATAGGTGGATTATAACATGGATTGTCAAGCGAGCTAAAATTCCGATTTTTTTCAAACTTGCAAAAAGACATACATAGCCACCTCGCTTATTTCCTTCTAGCCGACTTGAATGACTGACCTCGTCATTACATGCGAACCAAACTTGATCATACTAGTGACACGCTCTACGATCCGACCACCATCACCGATTAGGCGCCCGAAATTTCTATCGAGCTCATCGCCGCAACTTCATACTTCGACAATGTTAACGCTTTCTTTCTTCATTCGTCACTCTTCACGCGCACGCTCTACAAAAGTCTCAGCCGCTGCCTGACTTCCACCACCAATCGCTACCTGAGACATTCTGAGACACACCGTCTCTAACCACAGAATGGCAAAATCCATTGAAGAACTCATCGAGGACACGGTCAGACTGAGTATGATCCAGGACCAATATGTGCCATATGCACAACAACCCCAGGCCAGCACCTCAGCCGTAACACTGGAAAGCCATCCTTCACCTACTCCTCTTCCCGCTCCTACTTCCTCAGCAAACCGATCCCTCGCTAGGCAATCTGCCACATCCTTTACACATCTTCTCGACGACGACAATCCCTCGGAACTGCGCCACAGCCCTTCCCCGAGTAATGCTGGCACCATTACAACGCTGACCCCTTCCGGGAAAGCCTCGAAAAAGGCTATCTCCGCTAAGGGAAAAGCCTCGAAGGTCACGCCGTCGAAGACAGTCTCTCCCCAGTCCTCATTGAATCTGCCTACGTTGCACTACCCTGCAGAATCCAGGCTCATCCCGAACACCTCGGGAACGAAGGAATCTGCTGCAACCACCAGATATCGCTCGGACAGCAATGACTTATGCCTCGAAGGGATGATTCGTACAGAGTCATCCACGGCGACCAATCTCATTCGAAACCTCAACGACAGTCTTCACCAACATGACGACACCTACAACCATGCACAGCAATCTCTGGGACAGGACGTGAACGCTCTCCGCACTGACGTCAACGACCTACAGACACGGGTCCACGACATTGAGAGCTCACAACCTCCCTACGACGCCATTCTTCAGCGACTGGATCAACTGGAACAACGGCCTCCCGGTCCTAGTGGACAGCTACTCTCGTATACATGCGCCAGCTCCCCTGGCTTGTCATCTCCCCCTACCACACAAAACACACCTGACCGCCCACTGTGGGGTACTTCAGACATCTTCAGCAATCCACGAAACCCCGACTCTGACTTCGACTCTCCCTGTCACGGGTCCCAGAGGCAACCTTCGGCCTCACCCCAGGATCGTTCTCCCTCGCCGTCGCCACACATGGCCTCGGACACCCCTCCTTCCGTCGCGCCTCAAAATCCCGTGCCTCTCCGAAACTGTATATCTCGCTGACCCGCATCCCTGTCATTTACGGAACCAACACCAAAACGTCGAAGAACTGGCACACCTTCCTCCACATCCTCTACCAATCACAACGCATTCCCGGGATCGACAGTTCGTATCTCCACTGAAACTTGGAAATTCCGCGGGAAAGGTAGAGCTCTCCGTGCCTTCTTCCACACCTGGTTTGACCTGTTGGATAACGCAGCCACGCCATTGACATTCCCCTACCGTATCCGACACACTGGGCCCGCCAGACGCCAGGTGCGTCTGTTCTTTACTAATGCCTCTCAGGCGTTAGCATTCGTTAACGCCTGGGATAGCCACCGGTCCCGGATTGTCAACAATGCTGCATTCAATGTCTCCTACCAGTCACCCTCTGAATGACGGTTAGCAGTGGGGAAGTCTTTGATTGATTGCGCTCCCTCGCCACACCATAGTATTTCTCCTAATTGTATTAGTACTACAGGTAATTTGAACATTCTTAGCTTCAATTTGGGGGGCCATCTTCAATCTAACCTTCTCCACTCTGAGTTCTGCGAGTTACTGGACAACATTCACATTGCATGTATCCAGGAAACTGACTTATATCCTGATGAGGTATGGCACGCCCCAGATAATTTTTCTGTTTTTTCTCAAGCTCGATCAACGGAATACTTCGACGATCCCTCTGGTGGGGTCGCTACCTTTGTCCGCTCGGACCTACATGCAACGTTACATGAGGACCTCTGTGGGCCCGACATTGTGACAGTCGAAGTGGAAGGTATTCTCTTCATTAACGCGTACCTTCTTCCTTCAATCTCCAAGTTTGACTGGTCCCGGTGGACTGATACATCCCCATGGGACGCCTTCAGAGAGATCTGCACACTCGCCGCTAACCTTGACAAACCTTTTTTCATTCTAGGAGACCTTAACGCCCGCACCGGCTCCCTTCGGCCAAACGCCGCACACCCCATCTCGGACTTCACCCGATACTCACTGCTCTTCCCAAGGATCACACCTTCTGACTCTATGCGACGACCTCAACTTAACCATTCTGAATGGTTCAGAGCACATCCCGGGCACCCACTCTCGCTGGACCTCGTTTCAAAAACGGGATGGGATATACAACACCTCAGTCATTGACTATGGCATCTGCTCAGCCTATAGCTCCTCTAACATCGCCTCCTTTGATATCTCAGATAGAACAAGGTGGTCTGACCACGCGTTCCTATCTTTGCAGATCCTTTCACCATGCTCCACTCTCCCTCCTCCTCCATCTATGAAACAGAAGCGTCCTGAATTCACTTTACCATTGGTAACGCACCTTGACCACCTTCTCGACGAGGCTCTACATACCTCCCCTCCCGAGGCCAGTGACGAAACTAGGGAAACTATATGGTTTCAGTAACCTCGACCCCGCTCATGCTGGAACACATGGTCTGAAGGTTTACGGCTGATGGTCGGCTACCAATAATGGACAACTAGGTGCTACTGCGGGCGCAGGGATTTACGCCCGCTCACCCCTTCAATACCACTGCACGGGTGACGGGAACACCTTCCAACAACCGGGCAGAACTTTACTCAATATTACTGACCATACAAAAGACCCCGCTACATCGCGTACTGGACATCTTCACCGACTCCACGTATGTGATACACTCCCTTGTACATTGGTCTATCCGCAATGCTAAATGCGGATGGGTTTGCGTCAACGGTGACCTTCTCAGACTGATCGCAAGCTGGATCGCGGCACGCTCAGCTCCTATCCGCTTCCATCATGTTAACGGTCACTCTGGTAATAAACACAACGATGCCGCAGATGCCTTGGCAAAACACGGCGCAGGACTGCCCCTTACCCATCCCCTTTTCTCCTACAGACTACTACCATGTGCCCGCTCCTATCCCTTTTACGGTCCCGCTAGGATATCCAAAGGTCTATACAGATCTCCCTGAAGACCCAGCTTCCTGCAAACCACACCCATCTCGCCAACGTTCCTTCCACCGCAACCACCGACACAGGTCATTCAAGCGACAACTTCAGGATGGGATCCTGCACCGCCTCATCGAATGCTCTTCCGATTCGGGTGCATTCTGGAGACTTTACAAGCGCCTTCGCTACCCAGGCAATGCTCCTACTCTACTGTCTTTGTCGAGCCTCACTGAGTGCTTCATTCCACGAATGAACCCGCCCGAGAATGTCCCTCAGCCGTTACAAGATCGCCTGACTCATGAGTGCAACTTGTGCGAGCGTGTTAAAGTGTCAAAGCCCTCCATCTTCCCAACACTCAACGAACGGCTCACTTTACATGATATTGAGCGGGCCAAAGCTCACCTCATGCGGTCAAAGCCCTTGCGCGCCACGGGGGTTGATGGGTCCTCTTATTCTTGATACTCGACCTTGATAACCAAATCCTATGCGATCTTCTTAACGCCTGTGTTGACGCCGGTGAAGTCCCTTCTGCTTGGCTGACCACACTTATTGAAGCCATCCGCAAGCGAGGTAGATGCGACTTCACTAATCCAAGTGAATACCGTACTGTAGGACTTGAGAGCTGCATCTTGAAGCTCTTGACACTCATTATTCATATGAAGCTCTCCGATGCAGCCGAACAGGCTGGCATCATTCCTCCCTCCCAGAACGGTTCCGGGAACACCACAGAACAAACAATAACATGTTCATCATACGGACACTAATAGATGATACAAGGTCGAGAGGTGAGACTCTATATGTTGCCTTCGTCGACATTTCAAACGCGTTTCCATCGACAAATCAACATCGCCTCTGGAATAAACTATATGACTATGGACTGACTGGCCGCTACTTTGATTGGCTCAGAACTTTGTATGACCATATGTCATATACGATTCTCCAGAATGGCGAACTTCCGAGTGCTTTCACGCCCTATGCGGCGTCCTAATGGCGATCCAGCTTCTCCAACACTCTGGAATTTATTTCTCTCATCTCTTCACCTCACTCCCAATCCAGATGACGCCGATCTCTGTGGAATTACTATTTCTCACTTGGAACATGCAGACGACATTGCAATTATCTCGCGAACACCTCATGGCCTCCAAAGACACCTTCACGAGCTCGAATCCTGGTGTGACGACAATTTCCTTTCACTTGATGTGAAAAAAATCTGTGTTTATGATTTTTGGGCCTTTGCCCAACCCGCTTCCCCGTCTCACACTCTCCGACTGCCCTCTTCAACTAAAACAATCCTGGCCTTACGTCAGCGTCTGGCTACAATCCTCTTCACGCGACATCTTTGCAACACATTATAGAAAGAAGTCTGAAGCCGCCGTCGCTTCCCCCAGAAGTGTTTTTTGGATGCAAACGGTTAGTTGGCAGGTCACGGATCCCTCCTCATGTCGCTCGGCTCCTTTACTTTTCTCTCATTGATTGCCACCTCACTCATGGCTGCGACGTCGCCGTCGACGTGGATTCATCAGTAATGAATCCTTTATTTGACATTCAAACGCGGTGTCTTCGTCGCATCCTTGGTCTTCCTCATCACTCCACCATCTCTCCTCTCTTCACCGAACTTGGTCTTTTGCCTCTCCGGACCCGCCGATTGGAACTTTGTCTCAAATTCCTTTCTTATCTTGTTTCGGCACCGGAAAATAGCCTCATTGCCCTC